CAACCACACAGTAGCATGGTGGGTGGGAGAGGGTTAAAATTCTAAAAAGTAATCTAGGTTGATGGAGAGAGAAATTCATTACTGAATCCTTGTTCAACAAGTCTACACCCAACACGCATCCTCATCACTCGTACCGGAAATTAGGAAAATACTACTGCCAATCAGATGAAGAGACGAGAAATAGTGGAATTATATAAAAAAGTCGGAAACTTGTGTGGACAACTTGATATGCTTATGAGCAGCTAAAAATTATACGCGAAACGTCACCGGTAAATAATACTGTGTGACGCTGTAGGACTTCAGCAAAATAAATTTTAATATAGCAAAAATATTCATTCAGATATCTATAAAACACAACATAATCGAGCAAAGAATATTCTTTTCGATAAATTCCTCTTCTGGCTCTACAATTATATACATGTTTATATACACAGAATATTCAAGGTTGGTAGTTAATAACAATATTAGTGTTTTTTAAATAATATCGATTTGTAAAGCAAGATCAATGCAATTACAGTTCACTAAAAATACTTAAATTATAATAGTAATAAAGATATAATAGCGAGTTCACAGAGCAAGAGCGATTTGCTCGGACGAATGTCTTGATGAAGAACTGAATAATATTAAACAGTTGCTAAGTGAGAATGGTTATCCTGGAAAGTTTATTGATAAGAATATGAATTTAAAAGCAAAGCAGCCGAAGTTAACAACAGTTCCAAAAAAGCCCTTATTCTTTCAGATGCAGTTCCTTGGGGACAACACCAGCGAGATACTAACACATCGCATTAGAAATGCGGTAAAACGAGCATTCCCTGCTGCTGAATTACGTTGTATCTTTAAGACAACTCCTCTTCTGCTTTCGGGAGTGAAAGACAAACTGCCTAATTTCTCCTCATCCATGTGTATCTACCAATTTAACTGCTCCTGTGAAGTGATCCAGTTACATAGGCCGCACAATTAGGCGTGTTTCTCGTCGAATTTCCGAACATCACCCTGCGTGGTTAAGCAAAGGCCAAACAAAATCTATCCGTAGCACTATTTTGGCTCATCTGGTGGATACAGAACATAGGATTGATGTTAACCAAGCTTTCAGAGTTATTTATCGGATACCAACAAATCTCAACTTCGCCTTAAGAGTTCGATTACTAAATATTGCTGAGGCTGTTGGGATCCACATTAAAAAGCCTAATTTGTGCGTCCAAAAGAAGTCAGTTCAGACGCTGTCCCTACCTTGGCCATCTAGGTTTGAATGATTCTCAATTTTCTTGAAAATCTCCTAATTTTAGTTGATATCCTCCTCGCTATTATATCTTTATTACTATTATAATTTAAGTATTTTTAGTGAACTGTAATTGCATTGATCTTGCTTTACAAATCGATATTATTTAAAAAACACTAATATTGTTATTAACTACCAACCTTGAATATTCTGTGTATATAAACATGTATATATATATATATATATATATATATATATAATTGTAGAACCAGAAGAGGAATTTATCGAAAAGAATATTCTTTGCTCGATTATGTTGTGTTTTATAAAAATAAATTTTCTCCATAATTATTTTGAAACTATCCAGCAGACGTCTCATATCATAACCACTTCATATAAAATGGAATCCAAATTGTCTGAGTAGAAATGATGGACCAAGACATAATTTGCATTTATTCCAATAGCCTCTGCCATGAAGTGACAAAATCAATACTAGTGCGATATGCACTTTCATTATGTAAACACATGCTGTTCTTATAAGTTTATACGCACATGAAATCAAACAATCTACACATGGTTTGGCTGCCTTTATCACTTGACCAGATTGACAAGGTAAAAGCATTTGAGATTTTTAAAATTCTGGTTTCATAATAATAGGATAATGCGACAGACAGCCGGCAATGAGGAAACAGGCATAAAATGGACTGACACAAAAAACTTGGAGGATCTGGACTTCGCCGATGATAATATATATCTGATTTGCTACAAACTGGAAGATATGCAAGTGAAAAACAACAAGTTGGAAGAAGTAGCATCAAAAATAGGACTTCAGGTGAACATAAAGAAAACAGAGGTGATGAAGATTCCTGGCCAACACCAACAGTAACAATGACAGACAACAATCAGCGAAAATGATGGGAACCTGAAAGAAGCAACCTCCTTCCTCTATCTACATGGGAAGCATCGTTTCAATTACAGGTGGAACTGACGTGGATATCAAATTAAGGATTGGGAAAGCAAGACAAGCTTTCATTTCTCTCAGGTCCGTGTGAGGGTCAACAGAACTCAGCATGAAAAAGAAGATCCAGATTTTCAAATCCAATGTGAAGTCAGTGCCACTTACTATACGGATCAGAGACCTGGCGCGTCATAGAGAGCACCTCAAACAAACTACAGATCACCAACAGCTGTCTTCGCTCAATACTATTGAAGATCAGATGGCCGGCCAGAAAAGATCAGAAACAGGCATCTCTAGCACTGAGAGGACCAACCAGGAACCGATTGTGAAAGAAATATGTAGGAAGGAATGGAGGTGGATTGGAGGCCATTCTCTGAGAAAACCATCAAGTGTCATCACTAGACAAGCCATTTCTCGAGTGGAACCCGAAAGGCAAGCGGCGAGTCGGTCATCAGCGTGAAGGTGACTTGGAGGAGGTGATGTGAAGAGGAGATGAAAGTATGTGGGAAGACTTGGAGCCAGGTGAAAACTTGAGCAGAGAACCGAACGCAATGAAGACTTGGGCGGCTGAAGGCCTATGTTCCTCTAGGAATTAAAGGATATAATAATAGTAAATAATAATCGCAAATACTGACGTTACATCGTAATTTGGTTCTGCTCGTTATGGCAGAAGAGAGGAAACAAATATCGGCTGCCGACTGCGATCGACCATCTTTTTAATTTCACATTGTCATAGATTGACTAAGCCAAGCATTTAATTGTAATCTTAAACGACACCTAGTTGTATATCCTGCAAGTGGCGTCCGCAGCCCTGATCCTCTGGAAGAAGCATTACACTTTTCGAAAGAAATCTTCATGCGAAACGCATACTCACCAAGACTGATTGACAGGAACATAGCGCAGAGAATTCAAAGAAAGGAGGTGTCATTCGTGCCAAAAAAGAAACTTTACGCGAACCTTAACTTCAAAAATGACCAACTCATTGATTTCCATAAGAGGAGAATTTCGTATCCTTTGAGAAGAATTTTCATTGCAGCAACGGTGAGAGTAGTGTCTGTAGAAGTCTGAAGGACAAGATCTCACCTAAGCACTTCTTTGTTCATACATCAGTTCACCAGTTTTTGTGGAGCCAGGTATACTGGTCGTTCAACGAGTATCCTGTCTAAAAGGGTTCAGGAACACTATCTCGCATGGTGGCAGATAGGCAGTAGTGGCTCTGTAAGAAGCGCGATAATCGAACACCTTGTCAAGATTGGTCTTTCCCCCCCTACTCAGAAAACTCTCCCTTCAAAGTAATCTACAAAGTGAAGAACAATCTTTCAAAGACAAAACGCTTTCGCCTCCCTTGCACTTCTCAAGCCTTAGCCATTCAGACAGAAAACCCAGAGTTATGCATACAAAAGGAAATTATTCAACCACTCATACTATCATGGTAACAACTTTGTTGATTTCTCCTGACTTAATCTCTGTTTATTCGTTCATTTTTTAAACTCCTTGTCACTATTGGCTTGGGAAAAGAGCAATCAAATCATTAAATAGCGCATTTCTGTCTCATCTAGTGGATAGCGAACACAGCATCAAAGTAGATGAGTCATTTACAATTGTGGTATCGAGTACCGAACAATCTCCCCAAAGACACACGATTACGCCTCCTAGTCATAGCTGAGGCTTTAGAGACTAATAGAGCGAGAGACCAGACCTATGTGTACAGAAAAAAACTTATTCACACTCTTTGTCTACCCTGGCCCACTATAAGGTCACCAGGATCATAATTTTTCGTACTACTATTATCATTATTATCATTTTGTGATATCATGTCTTTATTGTTCATTTCTCCACCCAGTTTATTTCACCTCATTGTTACCCTTAATTTTTATCAACCTTTATGATTTTATACTAAGCCTACCAATTCTGTAGCATCTTATTACAATTTAAAATTTAGCCTCTTTATTTTATCACTAGGCATTATCGGTCAGGCCTCACATTCAGTGCCTCCTTTGTTAAAGTGTGTTTGTGTGTATTTTGTGGTTATCGTATATCTCTCATCCCAAGGACACTTGTATTCTGTAACTATAAAACAACACTATATCACCCAATTGTTCATTAACACTTCATCACAATTTTATGACTAAACACCCTATACACATTTAATTGACTATGCTAACTAATGGACTATCCCCAATACAGTTTCTGATATTATTTTCATTTGCCTTTATTGGCTATATGTACTCGATTATTCATGGATTTATAACTGGAGAGCCTGAAGAAGAAGTTATCGAAACTACAGTTGTTCGCTCAAAGTCTTGTTTTGACTTTACTACTCTAACATAATTCATTCATTTTTGTGTGCATCCTAATTACAACTCATCCAACTGTTGGTTTGCATGGATTTGATTGGTTTCAGGATTTCATCATTATGAGATGACATCATGAATCGGCAGACATTGGAATTCTTGAACCAGTGGATCGGATCCCAGTGGCTTAACGGTCTATGAGCTCGCCTTGTAACCAGTAGGTCCTGGGTTCGAACCTTGCCCATGGCTGCAAACTGCTGGATTCGTATATTTATTTTCCATATCTATTCATTATAAGATACTAAGATGTCTAGAGAGGATACCTTTACTGAGCTTCTCGCTCTTCCCCGTTCAATGCCTTCATGGGTATTTTAGTCAGTATTGTTTTAGTTGGTGAAAGGATTCCAAACATGAATTGGTGTGATATGATAGTCGTGAGATTCGGAACAACTTATCAGACAATCGCTAATAAATAGATTTGAAAATAATCACTTAAAAACAGAGGAGAAAAAAAGCACATTATACTACTTACAATGCCAAGTTTCACTGCAAGACTTGGTCCGAATACAGTGTACGCCGCCTCAAGAGAACCAGCTGCAGCAATTAATAAACAAGCAGTTAAACGTATTGGTTTCGACGCAGGACCTTCGGAACCTTTTAATACAACATGACAAGACTTTAAAGGATTACTTCCTTGTTCAGATAATCCTGCCATGGATGACTGGTTTAAATTAGTCTTTAGAGAATTCAAAGGAACTGTGGAATGTACAGTTATGTATAATTCGATAATCGATGAAGAATTCCCAGAAGTGTATAAAGATTGGAGAATTTACTTGAGTTGACTTGATTTGATACAGGATAGTTGTTGAAATCAATATTATTGTTGTTATTATTATTAGTAGTATTATTACTATTGTTGTTTTCAAGGGTAAAATTGATTGCTCTGAAATACTCATTAATCTTTGTACATGATCTTTAATAGTGGATAACTTTAGGATAGCATGATCTCCTGAAAGAAAAGAAGAAAGACAAAAAACATGAAATCATCAGTAGTCTTATTGAAAGAATCCTGTTTAATTAATTTTACCATGAAGCAAATTATCGATTTTATCACTGAGAGTAGTAGTTACCTACAAAACAGAGTGGAAATTCCGCTCAAAGTTACTCAGCCCATAGTTCATACCCATTACTTTCACAATAACTGGAAGAAGTAGTCGTTATTTTCCAGCCGGAATGCTGTGCAGTAGTGCAAAAAAGTGTCGATGGCCTAATTGGCTGAGTACTTGACAATCGCGAAAGCAGTCCGAGTTCGACTCCCGTCTGACACACTCCTACCCCTCACCTAGCAGAGAGTAAGTCAGATAAACGAGGGAAGGTTGGACGCGAGGCTAGCAATCAACACCACTACTACTAAAGCTTCAAAGCTCGAGACTAGAAGCCCTATGCTGCACTCGAAATGCAACGGAATGCAGAAATGAAAGATGATAGACCATAGCGATCTACGAGATCAGTAAGTCAGATCTATTGGTAAGTGTTTTCGTCTTCTTCTAAAGAAGGGAAGTTAGCTTTATTTATCCCAAGGGTTTATATATGTATAATTTCGATAATAAAATGTGATTTATTAATCAATTTCAACATAGATGTTGTTATAATAAAGGTTTTTGTATTTCCCAATGAATGAAAAACAAAACGATATTGTGTTCACTGACGTTTCGCTATTTAATGCTGCTGCTAATAGCTTTATCAAAGTATTATTAAACCAGAATTTACGAAATCTCAGCATATATATAAGAAAGAGTTTAGGGGTGAGAAAATAGACTACTTCGGTCAAATTAAAGGGACTCATTGGAAGTCAAAATAACAATGAAGATCACTAAACCAAATAACAAAGGTAATAAATAGTACGTCTGTTATGATATTAAAATAAAGTTTACTAACTTAATCATCGTTCGTCAGCGTGGGGTCATTTTTGGTTGTCAAGTCGGTGAATTAGTAAAGATAACAAAATCAAGTATAGATGCCTGTTGGATTTGGTCAGTGTGTAAAATTATAAAAGTAGTGTGTGTTTACATGAACTTGCATATCACATTCGTGTTGATTTTGTCACTTCATGGGGGAGAGGAGGGAGGTATTGTAACCAATTCAAATTATGTTTTAGTCTATTATTCCTATTCAGGCAATTTGGATTCCACTTCATATGAAGTGCTTGTGATACTAGACGGGCTTTGTGATTTCTGAAATGTTTTTTTCCGGATGATGATTTCAATATTATCAAAATTAATTTTGTGACCTGATTCTATAGTGTGTAGACCACCACCTATGGCTGATGATTTTTCACGCTTTTCTAGCTCAACCGGATTTTTCGGTGATCGGACAGACTCGGCTCTACGGTGTTCATTTCTACTGATTTTGATTTCTCGAGATGTCTGTCCGATGTTTATCGCATCACATTCCAAGCATTTTATTTTATAGGCACAATTAGATAGAGAATCTTTAGGGATTTGATCTTTTATGTGGACAAGGTTGTTTCAATATATCCCTGTAACTTCACCTGAGTAGTCTATTTTCCCATCCCCTAACTCTTTGTTATATATATGCTGAGATTTCGTAAATTCCGGTTTAATAATACTTTGATAAAGCTATTAGCAGCAGCATTAAATAGCGAAACGTCGTAAAAACGATATCAACTGGTAAAAACATAACTAATCCTTACAAACCAAGCTATAGAAAATTAATCTGATGCTCGTTAGTGACTTGTTACAGGATGGAGTTTCTTGGAGTTCTAATGAGAAGTTATGACCAGTGAGGTCCAGTTAGATGTCACGTGTGTGGATGGATGTCCCAACAAAGACATTGGTTGGGGTCGCGCTAAATCCCAAATTGGTGGAAGTTAGAATTCATAGGTTGGCCAATGAATCGGGTCCCAGTGGCTGAATGTTATGTGAGCCAACTTGTCTTGTAACCGGAAGGTCCTGGGTTCAACCCTGTTGGTGGTTAGTGTGTACTGCTGATGATTTCCAAACTAGGATGAAACATCAGCTGTCCAGTACTGTGGTACTGGTTTTTAGTGGTTCTCTAACTGATATCAATCCGTGATCAACTTGTAAAAATATAACCAACCCTTACAGACCAAACTAAAGAAAAACAATGTTGTTTTGTATTGTATTTCCCAATGGAAATACAAAATCCTTTTGTTATAATGAATATCATATACCCAAAGCCCAAATTTTTCAAACTGTTAAAAGTAAACTTGGTTTGGACATATATAATGGATGTTGTTTGTACTCCTGTGTAATGGACTTTAGGGAAAGCTAATGGTCTGAATGGAAAAGTATACAATATGTCAGCAAATACAGCATGAATTATAATTTGGATGTTTTATGAATAACTGCTAGATGAGAACTATTGGGATTTTAATCCTGCTGTCTGTGGTGACATACGGTCTTGTGTTTAATCTAATTTGACGATGTGGATTACTCAGTCCAAGAGAATCAAATAAACTCATATTTCTCCTGTAATTGTAAATTACATCATTCAATGGCAACCCTTTAAGGGGGAAAATACATTGCTTTTTAGTATATAATCATTGGATTTCATATATAATCCAGCTGTACAGACAGTGAAATCATTGTTACATTGTGTAGCCTTCCCGTAGTGTCAGGAAATTTGAAATTATTACAAGGACGGTTGCAGCGAGGAAAATTTTCTTTTCAACGAAGTCGTCAACTAGGCTGTACATTCGTGTGTTTATACTAAATGTATGAGAAAGTTGCACAATTATTTCTGGTCAAAGGTTAAATTAATAAAATTACCCTAAGTTTAATAAATAACTGTTCAACCAGCATGTGAAAGACAAGCTACCACAATGGGAAACTACAACATGCATACACTAGTTTACTTGGTCGTGTGGAGCTGTTTAAATTGGTCGTACAATGCGTCCACTTATAAAACGCTCTCAGCAACACTATCCAGCATGGTTAGCAAAGAGGGAACGCAAGGGAGTGTATAGTATGGTAACAGAGCCCCTCTGGTGAATTCTGGACATTCAGGTTCATTTAACAAGTCCTTCAAAGTCATATACAAGATCCAATGTTATCTACCAAATGGAATGAAATAAAGGCATCTAGGAATAGGTGCCTACTCTATGGGTTGAAAACAAATACATCCAGCTATTGTCCCTCTACCATGGTCGTCATGGAAATTCAGTAGTTGCATACAACGTTTATCAATTAGTAGTGCTTGCTAACCAGATCAAGGTGATCTAAACCCCGAATGACAGTTCCGTTCATTTGGGATTGAGCTCATCAGGTGTGTGTGTGCCATTTGTCTCAGCTCAGAGGATCGAATCAATTCAAATCATCTGATTTCTGACTAACTAATTGAGAAACAACAACAACAACTAAAACCAATCACCAACAACGGCAGAGATCTAACAGAGGTTCCCCCCTTCACTTATCTGCCTAGGAAGCATCGTTTCAACTACATGCGAAATGGACGAAGACGTGAAGGTCAGAATGGGAAAGGCAAGGCAAGGCAAGGTACACCCTCATCAGCCTGAAACCAGTTTGTAAATTTTCTGCTGTTACTCAGCATGAGGAACAAGAATCGCATTTTCAACACCAATGTGAGGTCAGTCAGTCAGTCAGTCCTTCTATACGGGTCAGAAACTTGCACTGCGTGTCATGAAAAGGATTTCCAACAGCCTGTTGCAGCAGACTTTCATCAACAGCTGACTTCTCCCTATACTGAAGATCAAATGACCAGAAAGAATAAGCAACAAAAAACTCTGCAGTGGAACAAACCAACATGCGAGAGCCGATCGCTCAAAAAATATGGAGGGGAAAGTGGATATGCATTGATCAGGCATGCATTGAGGAGGCTACCGAATGACATCGGGCGTCGGGCCATAGCATGAGCGGAATCCCAATGGGAAGCAACAATTAGGTCGTCAGTGAGAAGGTGACATGAATAAGATCATGTGAGGAAGAGGTAAGAAAGTTTTGTCAAATGTGGACCCAGCTGAAGAGGCTGGTAGAATAAAGTAGAGATATGTTGTTGAAGCCGTATGCTCCACTCGGAACGCAAGGAAGATATAATGATAACTAATAATTGAACGAACTGGTGTTACCATAAATTTCAACGTAGTTCCCTTCAGAAACCAAATTATACGAAATTTCACCCCTGGAACTGTGTAAGTTGTGAACTGCTTACTGATTTGCAAATCATGAATTTAATTTAGGGTTCAGGCTATGTTTCTACAGTGGTCAAGCTTTTGAGTTAAAAACTGCTCCCCTCCAACAGTGTTCTTTCTCTTGCTTTGATTTATTGTTTTTTTTTGTTTCATTTTATATTCATCCTAACGGTGTTTAGCCGCAATGTGGTACAGTTGACAACAGTTAGCCAATCTCCCAATACCGTCGAAGTTTTCATTGATACTGTTAGGACTTATTATTAGTGATGTGATGTCATTTACCACCTGGTTTTTTCACACATTGATTATTTCACCACAGTCTTACTACCTACTCATTAATGCATACTATTTTATACTAGCCACTCACTTGACACCTTTTACAACCATGAACTCACTTGTCAGTTTTCATTCCCCATATTTTATGAATCTATTATGATCACTAATCACCATCATTGCCTCGTATCTCACAATATTTTGTAACTGGATTCTGCCTAGCATGTTTGTTAATCAAGTATTTTGTTCGTCTATAACTTATCTCTTATTCTACGCAAAAAATGTATGCGCTGCATACCTTACCGTTATTGTAAAAAACTAAATATTATAATTTATAATTGTAAGAACCTGAAAAGAATACTATTTATTCAGGATTGACTTTTTGTTTAGAAAATGCCACTTCAATGGAATTATATGCCAGTGATAAGTTCGAAGTTATCTGAACTATCAGTTGACAAAAAAGCATTCAGATGAAAACTCTAGGTTTTAGTTTCTAAGATTTTGAAAGATTTCAAATTCGACTACAGTCAGAGAACCATTACAACCGAAGGAGTAAAGGACAACTGTAGTGTCCTTGTTTAGGATCATTAAACTTTTTGTGGTTGGCGACAATTAACTTTAACAATGAATTATTAATTTAAGGATAAAATTTGAACAAAGCAAGAACTACAGTTTTAGCAGAATAAAATGGTACCATCATTGTTTATTTCGTTGCCTTCTCGTCAGCTGCTTACATGGCAAAGACATTATTAAATATATCTACAACAACAATTTTAACGTACTTGTACAGAGTTAAGTTTAAACAAAAATCAATCGATCAATATACTCATACACTAAAAATATATACATATATATATATGTAATATTAACCACTATTCCGAACAATAATAATCAAACACAATGGAAACCTTTAGCATTTCACATTCGGAGGAAAGAGAGGTGAAATTATCCAGTTACCAGGGCAAAGAAAGGCTGATAACCGCTTCTTTCTGGATGCATAAATCAGGTTTCAAGCGATTGATGGAAATGGCTTCAGCAAACTTAAGGAGAATTGAGCTATTTTGCTTATTGATAATTTTGAACGACTTTTCGACGTCCACCTCATGACCCGTGTCGAGAAGATGCCTGGTGATGGCACTGTTTAAAGCATTTGTTCCCTTTAGACGTAAGCTTTAAACAGTGCCATCACCAGGCATCTTCTCGACACGGGTCATGAGGTGGACGTCGAAAAGTCGTTCAAAATTATCAATAAGCAAAATAGCTCAATTCTCCTTAAGTTTGCTGAAGCCATTTCCATCAATCGCTTGAAACCTGATTTATGCATCCAGAAAGAAGCGGTTATCAGCCTTTCTTTGCCCTGGTAACTGGATAATTTCACCTCTCTTTCCTCCGAATGTGAAATGCTAAAGGTTTCCATTGTGTTTGATTATTATTGTTCGGAATAGTGGTTAATATTACATATATATATATGTATATATTTTTAGTGTATGAGTATATTGATCGATTGATTTTTGTTTAAACTTAACTCTGTACAAGTACGTTAAAATTGTTGTTGTAGATATATTTAATAATGTCTTTGCCATGTAAGCAGCTGACGAGAAGGCAACGAAATAAACAATGATGGTACCATTTTATTCTGCTAAAACTGTAGTTCTTGCTTTGTTCAAATTCATTAAGGGGAATAAATGTATGAAATTGAAGGATAAAACTTTGGCAATGTGGTAAAGTATAACTCCATTATGGATAAAATTTTATTTTGATGAAGTCACACAGTGTATTTGTTACACAGTAATATATTCACTGATATCCGCATTTCAAGCCCAATTTCCTGCCACTCATAAACATATCAAAACAATACTCACATAACTTTCTTGCTTCGTTTGTATGCATGAGTAAAAATTGATTAGACATTTCAATAAAAATCAATATAAGACAAGCGTGAAACAGAATGGAAGATAAAGTACTTTCGGAACGAATATAAGTGTTATCAATAAAATACAATAGGATGGAAAACAAAACGAGTGTTGTCAGTCAATTAGATGGGGAATAAGATGTTTTATGGTCAAAATGAGTAACCTTTTAGAATGTTTTAGTGTGAGTCGAATGCATTTTAACATTATTTATTATTGTCCTATGATTTGACTGGTGGTAGTAATAACATCATCCATATCTCTGGTATTTGCATCGAGGCACTTGCGTTGCATGTCTTGGGTGTAGACTGGATGAAAAAGGATTCAGTAAGCAATCTCTCACTTTGTCTCCACCTACCTATATTACTTTTTAGAATTATAACTCTATTCCACCCTACTCGGTGGTGGTGTGGTAATGCATGTAGTGCAATTGCTGACTTTTTTTTTAAATTACTTATCTTTGTGAGATCAATCATTCTAACCTTAGTAAATTCCTGATCTACTAGTTTGTCCCATGTAGTTGATCTCAATCACAGTCATTCCATGGTATTTTGTAAAATATATTATTATGTTTAATTGGGTCCACCGGGTCCTTCAGCCGACAAAGCTTGTCCCACTTGAGTGAGTTTGTAGATTTGAATGCCGCCTTAACTCCTGATTTATTGAGAATCCTACTTCGTAGGTTCTCAGATGTCCTCTCCTTGTATGGCAAAACTACTGTAGATTCCTTATAATTCTGTCTTATTTATGTTATCATTATTGGTTTCACCATTATATCCACTTTGGTTTTGACCATTTCTGATCTTCCTAATAAATTTTATAAGATAGTTATTTAACACCAATAATGAATTGATATATGGGTAATATTTCAATTATGAATTCTATTGTAGCTATTTAATTTTACCGCCTAAACGTTATATAGTAGATATAGAGATAAACAAGTGTGTGTAGTTCCCCCTTCCCCCCCCTCAAATGATTGTATAGACTTACTTGAAGCTCCTTGCAACTCCATAATGGCTTGACCATTTAAGCAGACAGTATATCCTTGCACAGGTAAACTACTACCAGCGCCAGCAGCTGTTACAGCGTCAGCTGCACCTTTATCCTGTGGGACAGGAAGCCATGTGATAAGCAGCATTCCATCTTGAGGTCCAGCCTCTATCTGTACATGACTGGGGGGATCTGGTAAACCTAAGAATATACACATATAACAGAATACAATATATATTTATACACTGAAATTACTTATTCAAAAAAGTGAAGTTTTATTAATATAAATTCGGCAAAGTTCAACAATAGCGTTCCACGAGTGACCTTCAGTTGAACAATCATAAAAATGAGGAATGTTTGCTCAAAAATTAATGTATATTGGCAAGAAAATGCTTGAAAACTCAATAAACCAGTTATCTTTCTCTGACATGCCTTAAAAATACGTCCTAGTTATAACGAAGAGTATCAGTTGCTAAGTTAGACTAGTTTCTGTACATGTGTATTTGTTATAACTGCACTGAATTAAGATAAAACCCCGTCGCCAATTTGTTATAACTGCACTGAATTAAGATAAAACCCCGTCGCCAATTTGTTATAACTGTAGGGAATTGATTGATGACGTTTTCACCTTATTCTGTCTGCGCCTGAACTAATCTGTCTATCTGCTCGTCGTACCTTCCGACTTAGCAAAGCACGCAAATATCAAAAGACAAAGGCTGGACTGTGACTGTGTATTGAAGTGCAACAACGATAAAGAAAGCCATGGTATTTATACATTTTACAACAATATAGACAGCTAACAGCATTTGAAATAATTTATCTTAATAGCCAATAACAAAGTGCGTGAGAGATGATAATATACCATATGTGCGAGGTTGACAGTCAGTAACAAAATGTGTGGGAATGATAATATACCATATATACAAAATTAGCAGTCACTACCAAAATGCGTGAGAATGATAATATACAAAATTAGCAGTCAATACCAAAATGTGTGAGAATGATAACATACCATATATGCAAGTTTAAACAGTCAATACCAAAATATGTGGGATCCTATCAGTATTCACCTAGATAACTACAGATAAACTGTTTTTGTGAATCGTTTATCTCTCTGATCCTGTTTGCAGTCTTTCAAAAGAGCCCTTGGTTGATTTATTATGGTTTCCAGAAAGAGGATAGACGACTACTTACCAGGAAAACGTGGATAATAAAACAAATTAAAATAAATGACATCAGTTATAAATCTATCCCTGATCGTAACCGTAAGCTTATTTATTCCTCACCCTAACACTAACCCAAACTTTAATCCTAACCCTAATCCCATCCCTTATCTAAACCGTAATTCTAACTCTAATGCTAATTCTAACGAGCTATTAACACATTGTCCAAAAACAGTGCTTAAAAACGTGATCTGGGTGAAATTTGCTCCTAAGTTGATGAACAGTGTTGATATTTCATCTATGATAATGACAGATGCCGTTAGCCAATGACCAGGATGCGTTCAAGGTCATGGAGCGTTCACACTCCTGGGAGGCTATTGTTAAACTTCACCATAAATTCTATTTCTCTTTAGTATATTACTACATTAAACATTGTTACGGTTCAAAGTAAAGAGTACGCAATACGATTATAATGTTTAAACACTTGTATCTGTTTTCTTGTTCAGGTTTATAGATTATACTAGTCAATCTGTGTTGGTTCATTTACAGATTTCCGACTACTATTTCCATTTTGAACTCGCGAGCTAAATATCCTCCCATTTAGAACACCTCCTCATGTTCATTGATGACAACAAAAGGACGAAGTGGAAGCGAAATAGGGGCATTTTAGTGAGAGTGTCAATTCTCTACACAAAATTAAGTTATTTCAGGTTTGTAAAGCAAAAAACATATGAGCCTACAAATAACAGCTAGTGCTTAATGCAACAAGGATACGATTCACTATTCATCACATCAATATGATAGATGTTATGTAACGAATGGTTATTAGCAGTGGATACCAGATTACACGCTTCATTCTACTTGAGACTCGTAAGCTAATGGGTGCACTCTTTAATTCTCCAAAATTACCTGTGTTTCCATTGAGACTCGAACGCTGCGTCCAATACTTTGAAAATCAAAGTGGTATCACTATACTACAACACTTATTATTTGTTTAAAATAATTTTGTGTTCTTGAAAATTCCCAGAGTCATATGAAATAGAGAAGACTTTCAGCGAAGAGACTGTCTTCGGCGAATTCATACACATAACTGTAAAATCGCATTTATTTATAATTATATGCGTTTGTGTGTGTGCGTGCGTACATGAGGTTTGTCAAGTTTAGATAATTAATCAGGTAATAAAGAATGATCTAATATAGAAACAAGGGTAATCAGACAGCAACTAAAGTAAAATTGAGTTAGTAAGTTAGATGACCTAATATACTTGACTAAAATATCTCAACTTACTTCAGGGTAGCAACAGAGGTAATTAACATAGAGACTAAGTAGAAGTGGGGTAGAGTATAATGCCATTTAGATTACAACTAAAATTGAGGGAGTACGTTGGATGACGTAATATAAATGACTAGAAATTGACCGTTGGTCAAGTCAGTAACAGTCGTAGGGAGGTGCAGAAATAAAATCGGGTTCGGGGCAGAGAACGAGAGGGTTGAAAATGCAAAATATTACAATTGAGAATACAAAATAATACTAATGAAGGGACAGAAGAGAAACAAAAAGATTAGGTAGATTTTACCTGTCGGGTAAGAAGATAGATTACATCCATTGCAAATGTAGTGATTGAACAAGCTACTTCCGCATGCAGAGTTCAGGACTTAGCAAGTGAATCACGATTGCTTCTGCAGTTTGAAGAAGTCTGATTCGTAAACCTTCAGGAAGACTACTTCTTACTCTGTATACGACTTTGAAGTTTGTTTGGGGTGCAGCTTGGTCTCCGGAATCTATCAGATGTTCTAAGATAGAGCTGCGGGGACATCGTTTTTCTCCTTTGTAAAACCATGCATGCTGGTAAGTGTACGGTGATCCGTTTGGAAAGCGAACGTTGGGTACGGCCGACATACCTGGCTTCACACAAGCAGGTGAATTGATAAATACGCAGTGATGAGTCCAGCAGTGGTAGCTTATCCTTCACGTTCACATGAATCATAGGTTTTATGGAGAAGGTTTATCGTAGTTCAGCTGCGAAGAAGGTTTTCTTAAGTGAGCGCGACAGTCGAATTTTTGTATTCCCCGTCTACTGATTTTGCCGAACCAAAACGTTTGGTCACCATCCGTCTACATGTTGGCTTCTAATAAGGAAGCTTCCACCATGTCTGTGAATTAACATTATGTGAGTGTCATGATAGAAGTAACAATAGTTGACCACTACAGGTGATGCTCTCAAACGTAGTTTAAAATCTCCACAGTCAGTTCAGCTCTGAAGATCTTCCATGGGAACATAACGAAGGCGGTCGATTTTAGATAACCAAACAACCGTACTAAAAAGAAACCTTATCACCTGTTGAAATGAGCCTTAATCTGATATGTCTAATGACTTACTGATGAATTAACTGTTGGTCATAAAAACAATAACAAAAATGAGAGAATTGAAGGGAAACGCCTGAAATAGAAATCAATATATTTCTTCCAGCCGTAGGCATTTGTTGTAGACATTTTTAATGCTTTGGAATTAAATTTATATCACTGTAAAAACAGGACAGACATCTCTAGGTAAGTTTTTACTTTTTATTTCAGGTATGGATCAGTTAGTTTATCTTTTTTTCACTTGTTGCTTTATTTTTTAAAAGTGAATACTTTGTTTCCGAGTATAATGAATGCTAATAAGACTCTCAGACTAAACATCAATACAATACGTAACGAAGTACATGAAAGTGTATGCAGTAAGGGATATATGTTATATGTAGTCTCTCAGGCATTAAAATAGAGCGCAGGGAAGCAAAAGTATCATGTCAAAAGAGTGATTGACTACTGTCCTATTTTATTTTATTTAAAGCGCAGAAAAAGAAACTTGGTACAATATGGCACCAAGAAATATACTCCACACAATAATAATAAAACAAGATAGATCAAAAGTAAAAATATGTAAGTAGAGAACGGATAAAGAACTTCGTCTGAAGGTAAACAGTCATGCTTAACAAGTCGAAACAGTATTCGTTTACTATCATCGGGAAGGGAAGAAAGAAGGTAATTGAAACACGTTGGCCATTGATTACGATTCTTGGCCATATCCGATAACGTTTCGAGCCATCGGTTCGAGCTATCTCGCGGATCCTAACCAGGGAGTCGTGACACAACAACCGATGCTAATCTAGCACAAACATCCTTCATCCCACGACGCCACGTCATGGACTGAACACCTCAATCTAGCACAAACATTCTTCATGGACTGACCACCCCTCCGACTTTTCCATCCCGTCTCAGGGCTGGCTAGCGAACAGAGACCTGTACGGAAGCCTCTGAGATGACATTCGCAGCACATGTCTAGGCCACTGGAGCCGGTGTTTCCAGATGACGACACTCAGTGAATGGTAATCTCCACTGTGTTCAAATACACGCCGCCGAACCTGAGAATTACTTACGCGATGATGCCATCGAACACAAGCAATCCTGCGGAGACACCGATGATCGAACACGCAGAGTCGCCGGACATCCTCAGCCTACTCGGAGAGGCCAGGTTTCACAAGCGTAGAGCAAGACAGCCCACCCGCACCGAAGCATTGTACACCCGAGCTTGGACAGTCAGGCTAACGTCACGAAGGCGCCATAGGGGGCTCAAGTTGATGTATGCCACCTTGGTCTTCATTATACGGTTGTAAATCTCATCCGCCACTCCTCCACCAGCACTCACCCAACTACTCAGGTACACAGACTTATCAACAACTCCAAGCGGTTCACCCGCAAGAGTGAGTGCAGGTACAGGCTCCTGCCAATCTTGTAACAGTACTTTGCACTTAGACGGCGCAGAGCACATACCATACTTACAGACACTGTTCGCCAACTGATTAAGTGCCGGTGATTCCCAAATTAATTTCCTATAGCATTGATTAAATACGCCGATGATTGAACCATTTCTATCCTAGTACTTTCGGCTTCAGACTATTTTTATATGAATAGATTCTTATCTGAAGTTAACAAGTGGTCTCACCTGAATGGTCTTGAACTGAATTCACCTAAATTTCATATTTTGATTTGACACTAGTAACTAGTTTGATGCGTCCAACCATCTAACACCATCAAATTAATGTCATATTGTTGACTTTAGTTTCAGATGTGAGAAAAACTTACGTGTACTGATTCACTCCTAGTGTAACTGTATTATTGACAGCCCTATGATTGGGGATGATTCGAATATCTCTTATCTTGCCATCAGTTTCTCTTTGAATCTCTGTCGGTAGTCACATATCCTGTTGATTTCTAAGAATGCTATTTTTCGTTAGACTTATTGCACAATAAAGAAGTTGAGACTTACTGCTGGCATAACTCAAACTCACTTATTTCCCTACAATTTACTAATCCACTTATTCTGCCCATCCTACTGTATTATTATTCTCCCAACCCGGACTATTCTTCCTTGGACTTCTCAGAAAAGACCATATCATATCATTTCACGTAGACCACTGTAAGTAGGGTTAGTGGTGTGCCTGTGACCCAACTAGCTGACACTATTTTCAGTAGGCACTTCGATTCTTACAGGTAGCTGGCTAAGGTTATCTCGTCTGATACCGAACATTCTGTCTAGTAATTCGCAACTTTTGCCTTGTATATCTACGGGGGTGAAGCCAGAAGAAACGTAATAAGAATTTGTGCTCGTACAGCTACTAAATGTAGAAATTCTACCATACCATATTTAGCATGGGTTTTGTGTGAAGTAATATTAACCGATGACTTCGTTTCGAGCACAAACTATTGCTAATCATAATCATATTAAGTCACTCACTCCCAACACTTTTTCTTACTTCATTTATATACATGAGTGGAATTGATGATTAGACATTTGAATAAAAAATCAACCAGTATAGGATAATGTACATTCAGAAATAATAATAATATGAGTGTTATTCATCAATTACAACCAGATGGGAAATAAGATGAGTGTTTTTATAGTCAAAATAAATAAGTAACTTGTTAGAATCTTGTGATGTACGTGAATTGAATTGAAATAGAATTTAGGGATTATTTATTATCCTCCTCTGATTTGACTGACTGACTGACTGGTGGTAATAATATCTTCCATGCATATCTCTGGTATTTGCATTGAGTCATTTCTGTTGCATGTGTTGTGTTGGTGTAGACTCGATGAACCAGGCAGGACTCAGTAATCAGTCTCTCTTCTCTCCACCTACATATATTACTTTTTAGAATTTTTTCCCCTGTGATGGTGTGTTAATGCATGCAGTGTAAAGCGGTGCTGAATTTTTTCTAGCTTTCTTGTCTTCGTGAGATCAATCATTCTAACGGTAGCTAAATTCTTATGTTCCGACAATCTGAGTACCCCCGATCTAATAGTTTGACCTATGTACCTGACTTAACTCACAGTCATTGCAAGGTATTTTGTAAATTATATTGTTTTGTTTAATTGCGTCAACCGACACGGTTCTTTAACCTACAGAACTTGTCCCACCTGAGTGAGTTTGTAGGTTTGAATGCCACTCTAATTCCTGATTTATGGAAAATCCTACGTAGTGTCACAGATGTACCCTCCTTATATGGTAAAACTACCGTAGATGCCTTATACTTTATGTTAATTATATTATTGCATGAAGGATTTAATCATGAGCTGACATCAGTTAGAGAACCACTGGAAAACCTGGGAGTACTGGACAGCTGCTTCGTCCTAGTTTGGGACTCTTCAGCAGTGCCCACACATCGCCAGGGTTCGGCCTCAGAGCCTTCTACTTACAAGGCGAGCTCGTAGACCAATGAGCCACTGGGACCCGATCCAATGGCCAACCAGTGCATGAATTCTAACTTCCTCCAATTCACAGTACAGCGCTACCACTTCGCAATATCTTCTTCGATGAGTTACTGCTGGCTCATATTCAACCTGCTGTACCCTACTGGTCACGGCTTCCCACTAGAACCTCAGGTTAACTGCCTGAATAGGGCCAGTCACTAGTGAGCATCAGATTAATTTTCAAGTATTGGTTTTGTAGGGATTTTGTTTGATTGCATGGAGGATTTCATCATCAGCTGACATCAGTTACCAGGACCTTCGAATCCCGGTGGTTGCGTACTGATGAAGAGTCCCAAACTAGGACGAAACAGCTGTCCAGTACTCCCAGGTTTTCCAGTGGTTCTCTAACTTATGTCAGCTCATGATTAAATCCTCCATGCAATCAAACAAAATCCCTACAAAACCAATACTTGAAAATTATATTATTATCATTATTAGTTTCACCATTATTTTTTGCTGGAAACGTAATAAGGTTTTAAGTTTTACGTATTAACGTACTTATAAATGGAACTAAATTGTTGAAATAAGAAGGAAAAGGCTTAAAATTCCATTCTGTATAATTATGATCGCTTGGAATAAAGTGTTTATCATAAATTTATATCTTTATAAGTGGACGTCTCATTTATCTTACAAGATTATAATTTATTAAGCCATAGCGATGAATTATTCTGGCCTAGTCGCCTTATTACGTATCCTGCATTTTCCATGAACGGATCGTTTAACTCTAACTCGTAGAAGCCTATACCCGAGTTCATAAAATACTGTTAGTGCTTTATTCTCTTCACAAAAAGTTATCAAAATAAGACACAACATAATCGAGCCAGCAATATTTAGTAATCGAACTCTTAAGGCGAAGCTGAGATTTGTTGGTATCCGATAAATAACTCTGAAAGCTTGGTTAACATCAATCCTATGTTCTGTATCCACCAGATGAGCCAAAATAGCGCTACGGATAGATTTTGTTTGGCCTGTGCTTAACCACGCAGGGTGATGTTCGGAAATTCGACGAGAAACACGCCTAATTGTGCGGCCGAACATCACCCTGCGTGGTTAAGCAAAGGCCAAATAAATCTATCCGTAGCGCTATTTTGGCTCATCTGGTGGATACAGAACATAGGATTGATGTTAACCAAGCTTTCAGAGTTATTTATCGGATACCAACAAATCTCAGCTTCGCCTTAAGAGTTCGATTACTAAATATTGCTGGCTCGATTACGTTGTGTTTTATAGATATCTGAATGAATATTTTTCCTACATCAAAATAAGATACACCTATTTGAATACGATTAAGTAGGGTAAACAGTCCGTGGACATTTTTTCATAAAGTTAAGTGAACTGAAGTCATTATGACATAGTATGCTTTAAACAAGTGTACTGTAATTCTCATAATAAACTAGCGTCTTTAAGGAAAAATCAGTTAAACAAAGTAGCTTCACCCCAGTGTGGTATTCACGTGGAGTGTACATTGAAAGATGAACACACAAATAGTATGAAATAGTAATTATGCCTTAGTGATAAGGCGTTAGTCATGAAGCTGGATAGTCCTTTAACGAATTCGAAGTGCACCTATATACGGTCTAAGGTACAGATGTTATTTTCGTTTTATCGTTTTCGAGCATTCTTTTAATAATATCAACTAGAGAAACGAGCTAATCGAGTATCACCTCGTCGCCTGTAAACCTCTCAAAGGCAAAGATTAAACAAGTCGAAAATGTTTCAAAATCTCATTATTAGGAAATAGAAATACATTGAAACCCAGTGTAAACTCACCTATAGGAAGTGTACGAAACTCAATGAAAGCAGCTAACTTTTGTGTATATACACCACTCCAACTAGCATTAATCCAAGATGGAGGTTGTTGAACAGGTTCAGGCGTACTAATCGGTGATGGTAAGGCTTGAACACAAACCTGATGCAAAGTATCTGGAGGTAAATCTGTTCACAGAAGTAAATAAATAAAAGGAGAGACAAGAAAAAAGATATGGATTAAAGCGTTGACTACTGTCCCATTGAGAGATATTCTCAGTGTTGCTTGTGTGTATCCTGCTGGTTTTCAAACACTTCAATTGGCGGCTATCTAAACTTAACTGAATCACTTCTATCTATATGAGGCAGAAGCTTGCCGCGTCACACAAACCATTTCCAAAAGGTTGCAACCATCTTTAGAAGGCTGTCTTCACTGCATATGAAAGACCGAAAGGCCGGTGGAAAGAATTAGCAAAAAGGAACCCGCCAACCAAGGACCTATTGCTCAATAAATATTCTGATGAAAATGAGGACGGATCGGACATGCTCTGAGGAGAGTATTGAGCAATATCACATGCCAGGCAGGCCCTGGATCAGGACCCCGATGAGGAACGACTAGTTGGACCTTGGTCCGAGGATGACATGGAGGAAGTTGTTTAGGCAGGAGATGAGAGTCTCTGGGCAATCTTAAGGACAACTAAGCAGGAGTGCAGAGGGCAGGACAAAGTTTAGGTATTCTTCTAGAGCTCTATGTTCCGGTTGGGGAACAGAGGAAAAAGAATAATACATTAATTTTAATCTTATAAAAAATTTCAACTGTTTTCAAAAAATCACTATAGGATAACAATGTACTTTTACTTCGTTACTTTCGAATAAGAGTCAAACGTGTTTATCACTTGTCTGAACAGTTGAGGAGATTTGGAATGAGATGAAAAAAATTCAGTTATATTTAGTAATTAGTGTATTATATAAACGTATACGTAAGCAGTCACTGATTGTTGCCAAACATAAACTGCCTACATATCTCTAATTTTAGTCAATTAATCTACACTTTTTCATACTCCTTATATCAACTGCCATTGACTTCGTTGACTGATTGATGCCTTTCATGCTTTGGTCCTGAAGCAGTCCGCTGTCTTTCAGTTTAATACTACATTTATTGAAAGAAATAAACAACACTTTGAGGTAAATGGTGAATAGGCATGTATGGCACATGTACCATCTACAGTAGATGATGAGAGCTATAACCATAGTGATTACATTTCTTATACTATTAGGCACTTTCCGCATAAGCTTTATTCTGTGTACTGACTGATCTAAGCAATGCTGAAGACGGACATCTTCCACCCAATCATTCCTGCAGTATTCTCGAGCTGCTTTTTTAGTAACTAAAAAATGCTGTGAAATAATGACGCATCCGACGCATCTGTAGTCCCGACGTTCTGGAAACAGAATTAGATATTCTAAGAGATAACCAATAAGGTTCATCGACAAAAATATCAAACCAATAATTCGGAGAAACGAAACTTTAATTGCGCTTAAAAAGAAACTTTACATGAACTTGGATTTCAAGGTAGATTTAGCAAGCGATATTCTCAAGAGAAGGATCACATCGTCTCTGAGAAAAACATTCTTTGCAGCAACGCTAAGAATAGTGTTTCCAGTCGCCGAGTGATCTGCAGAAGCCTCAAGGACAAGATCCCGCATCTGACCACTTCTATGTGCATATATCAGTTCACCTGCTGCTGTGGAGCCAGGTACATCGGTCGTTCGACGCGCACCCTGTCCAAGAGGATTCAAGAACACTATCCAGTATGGCTGCGAAGAGGTAATAGTGGTGCAATAAGAAGTGCAATAATTGAACACCTAGTTAACACTGATCATTCCATTTCAACAGACACGTCCTTCAAAGTAATCTACAGAGTCAAGAATAACCTATCAAAGGTAATACGGTTTCGTCTTCTTTGTATCGCTGAAGCTCTGGCCATTCACATAGAAAGACCGGAGTTGTGCATACAAAAGAGAATTACTCAACAACTTCTACTGTCATGGTAACAACCTTTTTTGATTTTTTTATTTTATTTGAGTTTTTTTTATTTTGATGACTTAATTTTGTTTCTTTGTCTGTTCTTTAATTGCTTAGAATTCTTGCATTGATTTAGAACTCTTACGTAATTTCGTATTATCTACTTTGCTTCTATGTGCATCCTGAGTAAAACTCACTCATCAAACCATTCATATTAATACATAACTTCTTTTAATAACTATTTGTGACAACTCATCACCTTTGTTACCAACCTAGTTTCATTAACACCTAATTTTCTTGACTTGTATTATCAATCTTCACCTGTTTAAGTTAAATAACCATAACCAATTGTAATTTTGTTTGACAAACTTAATGTACACATACATACATACAAAATAACACATGTATATATATTTGCGATTGTACAGCTAAGAAAGTGAATTCGCCACCGAAAAGAGACTCTTCGCTGAACTACGTGTTTTGTTTTCATTAATGCCTGGATGGGGATTATTCATGAATAATGAAAAATAACCATGCAGATCTTTCCAGGTGATAATACTAAAAGTCAGTTTGCTGTTCAACTTCGAACTACATTATAAAACAAAAAGAGGAGGTAAGACGTTTGCGTTAGCATTTCTCGAAAAATTCAAAACTGTCAGGGTATTATCAGTAAGCTGCTGTTCCATTTCATAATGACACTCACGCAGTAATTGTTTCCATATTAGTTTGTTTATTAGATGTATCACACAGTGAAACATTATTGTATACTGGATGATGTTTCGAACACAATTTATTGTTCATAATCTTATCAACTGTGGTCACACGACTTCGAAACTTGAGTTTAATAGTTTTCTTTGTTTTCTCCTATTTGTCGTAGGGGTAGTAGACTTTTCCAGATATCAGGGACAGGTGAAGAATCATTCCTATTACATGTATTTGCCGTTGATTCGATAAACAAAGCTTCTGTTATCAATCTCTTCCTATACCCTGTGACATTAGATTTTAAAACTGTCATCTTATCCCATCCTATTGTATGGTTGTGTGTAACCGCATGTAGTGAGATAGCTGAACTATTTTCTAGATTTCTTATCTTATTTGGGTCAACCCATCTAGATTTAGCTAGGTTTTTATGTTCGGCTAGTCTGACTGTCCCTGTTCTACTAGTTTGACCTATGTATTTGACCTCACAATCATTGCAGGGTATTAGATAAACTAAATTGTTTTGTTTAAATGGCTCCACAGGATCGTCTAACCGACAAAGCTTGTTTCTAATTGAGTTTGTGGGTTTGAATGCCGGCCACTTTTATTCTTGCCTTGTTAAGTATTCTGCGTAAGGCTTCCGAGGTTCCTTGCTTGTATGGAATTACTGTTGATGATTTAGATTCCTTATTGTTGGTGTCGTCATTAATATTATTATTATTATCACTATTATTATTACCATCATTATTATTGTTATCATTATTATTATTATCATTATCGTTACTATCACTAGTATCATTATTTATTTTATTTATACATTTACTTACATATTTCTTGACTAATTTATCCGGGTAATTATTAAGTTTCAAGGCTTCTTTTATGTGTATCACTTCCTGTCTTAGATTTTCCTTGGCACTACTTGGTTTTTGTGCTCTGTCATTTAAGTGTTGTTTTGTAATATTTTTAAACACAAGTTCTGAATCACCAGGTAGTTACTGAAAGTGCATAAGATGTGCATCTGAGCGGAAGATGTTTAACCAACCGATATTTTTGGTCACTGAGTGATTTACAAATAGCCTCGCTGTATTCAGACCTTATGCAGTTGAAGTATCTAACATAGGTAAGTATGAATAGTGGATTGCTAAACTATTTGACATTAATGAAGGTTATTCAGTGTTTCATTGTTCTACTCATACTTTTTTGCCTTATATATCCTTATTATTATTATTATAAGAGTCATAATGTCAACGATAGATATCAATCTTTATCTCTAACTTTCCCTTGGAATTATCTTAATAATGTGGTGAGGTCACCAACAAAAAGTCTTTCAGTTTTCTTCAAATTAATCTCTCTCCATCTTACCCTCACTCTATTGCACTTAGCCCCCTTCTGTTACAGTAATGGGCATAGTTTTGCCAACTTTGCAAATAAAATATTGTTGAGTTTCTTTTATGACTCTTCGACACGTTTTCTAGAAAGTGGAAAAAGGTTAATCCATTTCCCTCCACAGATGAAGCATTTGCAGATAATTGAGCTGTTCTATTCTCTAGCAATCAATATGTATGTGACCTGAATGCTTTGAATTGTGTTAACCTGTCGACATTTTAGGGTAAGTTTAATAATGAAGCAATATTAACTAAAGAAATGTTGGAGAGTGGTGCTCGCAAAATATCTGTAATTTGAATAAAGCAAGAATAACAGTGGAAGTTTGTGCAGAATAAGATGATGGTACTATCATTGATTATTTCGTTGGCTTCTCATCAGCTACCACTTTAAGCCTAAATAAATTATGACGTTTAACCGAAGAGAAAAGTTTTAACATACTTGCAAATTTCACATGATGTCAATCGACAAAAGGTTCTGGAATTAGTGAACAGTGCTCAAAAAATTGTGCTCATATAGTATTTTTTACACGGGCAGTTCAGGTTTAAACAAAATAAATGTATGTGTATAATGGCGAAGGAATTCAAACGCCTACTGCTGATGTGAACCACGGGTGTACAATACCAGGTTGACAGCACTCTTTACTGACAAATAGATGGTGTAGCTATTGGTAGTATACTTAGCCCTGTTTTAGCAGATATCTTCATGCCAAACCTTGAGAAAACAATGTTGAAGCATGCGACTGAAGAAACAGCTTCCTATTGTCTTTATGTTGATAACACACTTCTAGTGTGCAACAATGAAAGTTATGCTTCCTACCTACTCAGATTGTGTAAAGACGCACAGACAAATATTGAATTCACTATGAAAGACGAAAATGATGGAAAATTCCATTTCCTTGATAACGCTATGCAACGCCTGGAAGATGGTAGTCTCCAGAGGTCAAGTTGCCGAAATTTGACATGGAACGGACACTACTTACATTTTTATTGCTTTTGTCCAAGTAGCTATAAACGAGGACTAGTCAAGTCTCTGCACTATACAGAGAGGAGAATATGCTCTGCAGAGAACCTAGAGGAAG